CAATTCAGAATACAATTAAAACAATTAAAAATGAATGTGCAAAGCAATCTGTACTGTGTCTAAAATGCTGTATTTAATAGTGTTATTGCTATGAGTTTAACCATCATTTCAGGGAGTTAGGCACCTGAATTATGCCAAGGCAAATCTGTTTTGCACTTGACTGTCAAACTGATTTGCAGCAAAGCCCCAGCTTGGGATTAAGATCAACATCCAGACATCTGGAACTGGTTGAGTGATAAAGAAAAGTTCCTGTCTGTAAGATCAAACAGCAGAAGTGGGCAAGAAGGTGCAGCATTACCCTTCAGCTGCCTCGAGGCTAACGGGAGGAAAATAGTTTAGTACTGAATAGGTTAGGATGATTGAGACAAGGGCTGCCTACAAGATCAGAATTTCTGATTTAATTTGAAACACTAACATAACCTTGCTGTCACTTGGATCTGTACCTCCTAACTGGCTACACATGCAGATGGGCTTTGCCTGATTGCATCTAGATGAAGGAATAAGGCCATGAATTTTACAGCCACTTCACGGTATGACTGCAACCAGGTGCCAGCTTCAAACATCTGTCCTTTGCCAGGATGACAGTACATAGAAGCAAAGAGAGAAGATATCTTTATTAACATAAAGCCAGTGGGAACTGTGGTACAGCATGTCAATAACAGAGAATACCACAAATGAAGGTTCCAAATTACCTGAAATTCATAATTAGTGTCTGATTTCCCATTTCACAGTGACTCATGGAAGAGCCTAGGAGGGTGATCAGCAGGCAATAATGTCAGAGCAGTTTTCCTTATGTCCTGTTCTCATTCACAACTACAAACGCATTTCAATAACCTTGGTTGCCTCTGCTAAAAGACTAGATGTACTGAAAATTGTACACGGTTTCAATTATTAGTGAGATACATGCAGATTTTTAGCTGACTTTGTTAAGCTTTTGGCTAGGTGAAAGAATATTTAAGGTTATTCTCATACCTTATACCAACAAATATTGTTAAATACCAAATCACATAAGATATTTATTGGTTATCTAAATGCTTAGTAGCTTATCAAATCCTTTAACAACTTAGATAATAAGCTCTTTTAGATGCTTTTTAGATATCTTTTGTGTTTAGGTGCCTACACAAGCTTCTTCAAAACTTGTTTTTGCTTGTAATGCATGCCTTCTGATCTATTTTAGGAATGTTCTACCATGGAAGAGGCACCCATCAAGGTCTCAAGACCCTTGTGGTGTAATTCCCTGGGAGGCATCCCAGCTCTATGCAAGGCCTATTGAAACCAAGGGAAGCTTACTGTTGACCTTTACATGGCTTTGGGTCAGACCATCAAAAGCACTGACTGAAATATTTCTGTGCTTATCAGCTTTCCTCTGATCTTTAGTTTCATATATTATTATTTTCACATTATATTACTAAGAAATGTTTAGCCTCTCAAAACATGAAAGGAAGAATCACAATGTGTACTATAATAAGAGAAAGTATGTTTATTATACTTAAAAGCACCCATTCTCATGAATTTACAGAGATTAGTTAATTTTATCACTACCATTTAGTAGGTATAATAGCATAAAATGGTCTCTAATCCTTTGCAGGGAAAAAGCTTACAGCTAGAATAATTTTTCTACCGTCAGTTTTATTATGACATGCTGCATTACGTTCTACATACCATGTGCGACAGTTTTAACTATGCAGCTGCTGAGAGCCCAGGCACAGGTTCTCAGGCCTGTTTAGGTGCCTAACTCCTACTGAAATCCATAAAATAATGTAGTCACCATAACACTCAGTTTTGGCATGCCTAAATCTTAAGGGTTTGGACACCAGAGAGGAAACCACAGTCTGAAGTTTAAGCAGTCTAATTCTTTATAGGATGCTCTATGACAGTTAGATCCTGGGAAATAAATTTGCAAATACCAGCACGTCAGTCGAGGATCGTGAAACGTAGCCAACGGAAAACACAAAGAGAAGAAAACAGAAAACCAAAAAGTTATAAAACTGGAAATCAGAAACGTTCCTCACAGGAGAACAGAAGAGAGGTGGTCTGATATTAGAGGTGCAGCTGATATGAATCTACACCAGATCTCACATAGCCTGAGTCTCTGGCTTCACAAGGAGAGGGATGCTAGCAGAGGAGTCAGAAGGAGCACCTGGTTCAGCTTTCCCCATGAGAACAGGCTCTGCATGTGGGATACCCTGCTGTGGGGGGTAACCTGCTGTGGTTTGGGAAGTCATCACTGTACCATCCTGCAGGTGGTCACTGGCACACTGAAGATCTCCTCACAAAATCATCTGGCCTGCCAATACTGTTGAGAGAGAGATTGAAATTTGATAGATACTTCTGAAATATCTGAAAGCCCCGTTTTGTTGTACTGGCCTGTGCTTTGTTGTTTGCCTACCTGGGCTGTAATAATTAAGAATTACAATTCTCAGTGTAACCTGGATTTTGAGGTCTTCATCTGAATGCAGAATAGCAGGAGAGCACTTGAAAAATTAGTTGAGTCTTTGGGAAAAATAAAAAACTCTCTTTCTCTCAATGGAAGGAAGCAATATGACAGAGCTGGTTTGTGCTTTGATAAAAAGCTATTGTACCTCTGCCTAAAGAGGAAACATGGCCCAGATCCAAACAAGGGCTTACCTGCCTGGCTTGACACTGAGGTGGGACATAGGGCCCTCTGACCAAAACTGCCATCTCCAACAGCGCCTGCGCAAGTTCTATTTATGTCAAAACCAGCTAAACCCCACTGTACTTAAAATGGTCCTCAGGAGGTGCCCTCCCCCCTAACGGGTTAGCTTCTAATTTAGTTGTCCCACTTCAGTGGATATATCGGGTGCGAGAAATCTGGGCCTGTGTACCTGGATCCATGTTTGGATACCAAGGATTATCATAATATTTATATAAGATGCACTAATGTATTACAGACAGTTGCTAATTTAACACATTTGCAGAAGAGTTTGAAATTTGATTTTATAAAACACTGGTTCTCTTTCCCATTGTTTTGTTACTATGAGCAGTAAGATGTGACCTTAACGAAGACAGCAAGAAGAGTCAAAACTAACATCTAATCCAATGCTGCTCAGAAAACATTAAGAGACATTTTGTTTCCTATTAGCATGTACTTCAGTCCTACAGTACAAACAGAATGTCAAATGAATCGTTTTTGCACCTTTCCCTTGAAAAATCCGCCACAATCAGCACTTCAATTTTAACAAATGGCATTTTCTTGAGAGAAAGCCGTTCCATCAAAAAAATTTCAACCAGAATCTCTCTAGTTTTCTTCACTATAAAAATATGCTCTAGTGGATCTCCTCAATTTATTTTTTTAAAGAAAGAGCCTGAATTTCATTTATATTTTTTTCTTTTAAAGAAGGGTCATGCTAAACTCAATTTATTTCGTATTGATTGGCTGTGGTTTAGTCACAGTCTCCTCTAACTTAAATGGAATTTAAAATATTTATTTCTACAAAGGAGTTCTGTCAAAAAAATTAATGAAAGTTTTTCTCACTTGCCTTCAAGAGCTCTATTAACATAGTGTTTGTTCACCTTACAATCGTTTAACATATTTATTATAGCAATAACTCACTGAGGTTGGATATGAGGATAATAGCATATGTTTGAAGAATTAAAAGCTGCTAAGAGGTGCAAAATCACAAAGGCCTAAGCCTGATGGGATCTTTAAGGTTCTGGGACAAAAGGAATAATGGAGGCCAGTGGGAGTTGGATGGTATGTTTCATGTTTGCCTGGGTCAAGTAGAAAAAAGCAGGGAACTCGGCACAGGTCTCATAGGTCCCTTATGTGTCTCATGGCTATTTGTCTATTCTTTTTCTAGCTACAGATATTCTAATATAAAGACACAATTATTTCACATATATATTATATGTGTGCATATTTTCATGTATATTATTAATAACCAAATGGTTTGTAATTGTTTCATTCAAGTAAATTCTCTTTCAAGAATACTTAACCCCTGGGAAGCTGGGAAGCTGGAGGTTGACAGAGTGCCCTGGAGACATGCCAGGTATGCTTTCTGCTCATGGTCACCTCTAGAAGAGCATTCTTCTCCCTGCTGACTGGAAGGAGAGCCCTGGGAGCCTTTCCACCCTCTCCAAAGGACAGATCTTACAATGGCAGTCGGGACATAAATTTCTTGTCGAAGATGATAAACTTGCCTGGTCCTTGTTGATTGCATCTCTATAATAGCCATGGGGTGCTTTCATTAGCTTCAAATAATTTAAAAGTCATTGTAGTATCGTCATAGATTCAGGATGGAAGTAGACCTGGCTGAGATGGAGTTCCTGCTCCCAGCACTACTTATTTTTTTTATTTTAAATAGTCATGGCATAAAAAACCCCTTTGTTGTTGGATTAGAATATACGCATTCCTTTCTCAGTAAATATACTAATCAACAGAGTGCGGCTTGTCCTTTTTTTTCCTGATCTCCTGACTTCTTCATTGCTCTCTACCTAGTGGAGGGCTCAAAGCATGAACACCTCCATTCACGTGGGACATGAAAAAGGAAAACATGGACTTGAATTCACTCAAATGGAAAACAAACTAGAAACCTCCCCCCCATCTTCCATTTTCTGGGAGGATGCTCTATCCAGTATGCCATCCAGTAAGAGGTGGATATGGGTAGACTCTTCCTCTCTTTACAAAGGGAAAAAGTGAACCTCACACTATTTTTTCCAGTAGTAGCAGGCTTGTGCTGTCCTGGTTGTGGCTGCCAGCCGGGCAGAAACCTGACCTCTAGCCTCGTAAACAGCCTAATCTCAGAAGATGGGATCAAGGCATATTCCTGTGACCTGTGTGTCTTTGACTCAGCCTTCAAGGTACCCCACTCTCTCCATGCCTTATGGGCATTACGCTTCAGGGCACAGCTGCAGGGTTTGGGTTACGTCTGGGCCCATGACATGTCCAGTCCCCAGCTGCAGAGCATGTGAGACTTTTTGTTGGATCCACTCTACCATGCCTCTCAACTGACTGAAACCAGCCCTTTGACTAAGCACAGTTAGAAAAGACCTATCAAAGGCAAAGGAAGCAGGCAGATCACTGCAAATCTTCTGGGTGGGACAGAGTCTTCAGAGCTCCCTGGGTGGTCATCAGCAACTTTAACTTCCACACAGTCAGTTCCTTCATAACCCTGATAACAGTGGCAGACAAATGTCTCTGCCATTATTTCCAGATCTTCATTCATTGCTTCTCCTCTCACAATATCATCTATGCTGAAGCTCTTAGAATTTAAATGCAGATATGTCAAAGCTCTCCAGGTTCTTCACACACATCATCCATTGTCCTGACAAAGATGTCTGTTGCGCACCTCAGCTGCTGCTGTGACATTGATGATGTAGGGCCCTAATTCCGAATCAACAAATTTTTGCACTTTTATGCAGTTACTCTGTAAACGGTAGAAAAGAAATTTTAGCTGATGTCAAACTAACCACTCTATTTTTTCCTTTCTCTTTCTGAAAAATATGCAATATGTAAGTAACATTAATGAATTCATTCTGGATAATTTAAATTTGATTTTAAAAGGATTATTAGGAAGTTTTATACAGAAAATATAACCCAATGGAGATGCAAAGGGCTTTAGCAACTTGCACTCCCCAGAAAACACCACAGCCTGTAGATCTACAAAGAAGCCATGATGTATGCTAGAAATGCAAGTGACGACAGCATGGCTGTTTGGCAAGAGTGTGGGGGTCCAGAGCTGATGCTCCAGGGCCTTGCCTTTGTCACTTGACTGAATTGGGAGGAAATTCACCCTCCTATTCACATTCACTCTGACAGAAACCACAGGCGAATAGTTACAAAAATTGGCTGACGTAATTGAATTTACTGAGGACAACTGAACACTTATTTTCAGCCACTCATTCTTATGCTGGCTGGGTTTTCTATGCTATCTGCCAGGAGAAAAGCAGGCAAGAACACCCATTTCACACAGCTTTAAGGACAAAGTCTTTTCTCATGACAAAGTTTGATGTGTGGCTGTCTGAAAGTTCCAGGACGTGACGAAGCCTCAGAAATCAATCTTTGATTTTAATGTGGCTAGGTCTGTTATCACACAATACAAAGCCTCTCCATCTAATCGCAACAGCCTGCTTCATTTCACTTGCCCACACACAGGCACAAATAGAGTTCCCATAACCAGACAAATTGCTGGGCACCACTGGTATACCTAATCTGGTCTGACTGATGTGCTAATCAGGCTCTAGCTCATTTCCTGGTGTTTTATCCAGCTGGAATGGATAATATTGAGGAACTGTCTTCCAGAATGCCTGGTATTAGCCATTGGCTTCCTTCCCTACCACTGGTTGCCTGTGAGCCTCACAAAATCTTGTTGAGCCAGGAAGAATTGACCATGTTCCATGGTCATCCTGACTGGGGGACAGCAAAGACTGGTTAAGCAGTCAGCTCTGCTGGTACCGAGTGCTCAGAACTGGTGCAGTCAGACAGTGTCTATTAATAGGATAAAATGAGGATCTTGCACATTGCATTTAAATCAGGCACCGGCTTACCTCTGAAGAAGTTAAATTCATATCTCGCCAAATAACAATGCCTGCAGCTCCCAGGGCACTCGCTCCGATAGTGTTAATAAGATCTTGCTACAGTGAAAAGAGTAAAAACATCACTGTCAGGCTAATTCAGCATTTCACAGCCTTTCTAAAGTAATCCAATGGTTTGTTATGTGGCTGTCCCTCAGACTACATTTGCTTTTCATTCTGGTCCCTATGAACTATATTTTATTGTGGCTAAAGATTTGCTGTCTAGAGAACAAAGATTATTAAACATAAGTTGCAAACTTAGGTACTGCCTGAGATGTTGGTAATAAGCAAGTCAACAAACACTGGGATACAATTTACTTTGATGCAAAATTTAATTGTAATTATTTGATACCTCATCGATTACTAGAATCAACTAAAATCTTTTCATTAAAGTGGGATTTTTAACATGAGAATTCCCCAAAGCGTTCCCTCAGTTCTGTTTTTGCTGATAAGGGGATGGAGAGAGCCATTCTGCCCTGTCAATCAGCTGTTTTCCCCATCCCTCTCCGATTTGAAAGCTGTGATTCCAAAGGCATGCATTGTTCTTGCTGCTTTCCCTAGGAGCTCACTCAGCTTCTTCTAAAAACCTTAGAAAAAGTGACTGTAAATAAGCACACACTATAGGAGGGAGAATGCTGGCATTGCGCAACCTTAAATGAAAGGGAAAATGCAACACTTCGTGAATCTTAAGAATTTCAGTTTCAGTTTTTGTGCTCTTTCTATGTTTGTTTCAGAGAGATGTCTTTCACTGTACCTTTTCCTCATATCGCAGGCTTTAAGGGGAGGGTATTTGGTGCTTGGATGTTCATCCTTAATTTGAACAGTGATTAAGGATCAGCAACAAGTGAATTACTATGCTACAAGCACTGAAGATGAAAGACCATTGATATGCAAGTGACTCCCTAGAAATCACTATTGATTTAAGGGAGATTGAGGGCCACAGCACATCAAGAATCAAAGTAGAAAAACTTCACAGGGTTTGGTTGCCTAAGGGGTAAAAGAGGCAGAAACTTGCAAAGGGGATGCACACCAGCCTGCAGCAGTTATTGATGTCCATCTATCCTCTTCTTGCAAAGTTAAGGAAGGGCAAGCTGGATAAAAGCACCAAAGCAGGTGCCTACACCTCCTTTAATGCCTAAGAATAGCCATTTACCTTCAAGCCGGAGAGAAGCACAGCCCCTTACTGGGAAGCGTAGTGGGTGATGGTAGTGCTAGGGAAGTAGTGGGACCGAATAGGAGAGGGAGCTAATGCTCCTTCCCAGACAAGGTGCCAGCTTCAGACTCTGTACCTGGGCTGAAAGACTGAACATACATAGCCTTTAAAAAGTGAATACAGCTCACTTGCTAAACTCTGAAACAGAATTTGAGACCTGCTGGTAGTGCAGTCACTGTCTAAAGGGGAGAACTAAGCCAGGGCTGTGACAGGCAGGTTATGCTGCTTTTTCACAAGAAAACTATTGTCTTCATCCAGTTTCTGGGAGGAAGTCCAGAATCACATAAAGAAGGACTAGGGTAGGACTTGAAAATACTTGTGTGTGTGTGTGTGTGTGTGTGTGTGTTCAGCTGATGTGAGCAGTACTCCTTGGTTCTGGTGCACCATTTGCCTGCTCCAAGGTAGGTATGGGACTAAATTAAATGTTTTTGAGATGGAGGCATGCAGAAAGACTGCTGGCTTCGATTTCCCATTCTGACATAACACTGAGCAAGTTGCTAACACCTCTGCCTCAGTTTCCCTTCTATAAAAGGGGCAGCTGTCTGGGGATTAGTTAGTGATTGCATACCTGAGCAGAAGAAAGTACATCAGGGAGGATTTATGTATTAACTACCTCTTACGTACTACATCAAATTGCTGAAATCCTTTTAATCCACGCAAATGCATGTTTGAGTATAGCATGGTGATGAACTAAAAAAAAAAAAGATATCTGAGGCTGCATTTTTTCTTCAGAACATTGAGCTCTTCAAAGCATGTGGACAATTAACATGAACCAGCAGAGCTGGCCCAAGTAGGAGGTTTTCCATCCTGATGCACCATCTGTAAGAATGGTTAAAGCATAAATGCAGCCCACATTGTTCCAGCAAAAGCTTACCATAGAGAGAAATGAAGGTTCATCTCTATAAGCTAGTTGAGTACACGCAAATACAGGCAAAGCATAGTCTTGGGATGTCATGGAGGAAATCCTTATGGATTCATTCACCCTAAACTGAGAAAAGTGCAAAATATTTTGACTGTTTCCAAGGGATTTCTTAATGCCAATGGAAGGATATAGGGCTGCACTGCTATCCCAGAGCCAGGAAAGTTCGTTGTCCTTCAAAACTTCACTCTTTGGGCAGGAACCAGTGTAGTTCTGATCACAGAAATTGTAATTGTGACAGTCAGGGTATAAATAGTATCCCCACAGGCTCTTTGGTCTGCTTTTCATTCCTAATGCAATTGTTTCCTTCATAAAAGCTTTTGCACTTTTCTTCAAAGGAAAGCCTGGCTAAATGTTCAACATCATTTGCTGAAATACTCCCTTCCATTTTGGTTATGAGTTTCCTGGATGTTCTTCTGTAGACATCTTTTGCAGTCCCACTGAGGCCTCCAGTACTCCCAGTCCATGACAGCTAATCCACTGAAGTCCTTAGCTGGGGTGTAACAGTTAATGTCACGGACGGCTTTTTCCAGATGAGTTTGCAAGCTGAAGTTCTGGGGTAGGCCACCGTTGACAACTTCTTGTGATGTGTACCAAGGATAATAGCCAAGCCTATTAAAATAAAATATGGTCACATTCTGCCCTCTTGCTTTAGCTAATGGGCTTCCAATTATATGAAACATTTCCAGGTTCAGTACGACATCATAACTCAGGGAGCACAGGTCTGTCAGTCCTCCAGGCGGCTACAAAAGGCTTCCTCTCCCAGTCCGGTGGTCAGGCTGGTTTCATAGCAAAGGAAATCCAGGTGAGTGCTATGCGCAGCCATGCCATGGGCTGAAAGATGAATGATGCATTACTTCGTCCCATTTTCAGGCAGTATTTTCATGACTTAAGAGACAACATTAGGCAGATCTCCCAGTTTGTCTGTAGAACATAACAGAAGAGGCATTAATACTTATTCCATATATAGCTATATGAATTGGTATCAGCCGCTTCTAAGGTATCTACCATGCTAACACTGAAGAAACAAAGTGGGCACAATCTAACCCAAAGAAAGGGGGCAGATTCCCAGCTGAAGTAAATTAGTGTAACTCTGCAGCAGTCAGCGTAACCACAGCTGCTTGTCTCATCAATCCAGGTCTTACTGAAATCACTGAAGATGTTGCCATCACTTCAGTGGGCCCCAGGGTGTCATAGTGGCTGTGGCTGTTGCAGCTGGAAAGGTTGATGAACAAATGGTTTTCTTATTCTTCAAGCTTTCTCAATAATAACAAAGGTAACTATAAAATGAAGCCTTGGCTTTTATCACCGTCTTCACAGCTTGAATATCCCTGACCTGTCTAGTACAGTGCCACCCAGAGATACTCCAAATAGCTCTAAACAAGCACACATATTTCATTGTCATTGTGCAGTACCATAAAGGGATACAAGTTCAAACCCCTGACAGCAATAAAGCAGATCCATGAAAGCTTGCTCTGAGCTATTTATTAGCCTGGCTGCACTATCACAAGGAGCTAGTGCCTTCCAGACCAGCTCTGATTGATAGCTCTGCACAGCGCTGCATTGTGCAATGTGGACTCCGATGCTAAGGCCTGTGGCCGCTGCTACAAGCGGAATAATTAGTCACAAGGTCCCTGCCGGTTATGTGTGTATTAAGCAGAAAAGAAACCAGATATACAGCAAAACCTACATACTTATATGTAAGAGAGAGAGAGAGTCTTATCTGTCCTCCAACTCCAGGCTTCCCCCTGCATTTAAAACCCTGGGGAAATCCCGTACAGCTGTACAATCAACCATCAGGGATGATCATGGATTTGTATTTGAGTCCTACCTGTAGCTCTTCTCCCTCAGTCCTCACCTGCTTATCTCTCCTGGGACTGTGACCTGCTGGAGGTGAGAATCATGGGTTTCATATGGGCAGCCAGATTGTTACATATACTAATGGGAATAGCACATCTATGTTATCCGTCCTTTATCTCAAAAGAGAAAAACAATCAGTCATAGCTATGTACCTGGAGTACTTTTCTGGACCTCCCCACTCCCCCATTTCTTTACTATTTTAGGGTGGGTCTAGCATGACCTAATTTCAGGTACCTGCAGCAAAAATATCAACATCTAAGGTAACCAACCTAGGTACTTTTAATAAGCCGTGGATGCTTTTAGGATAGAGTCATCTGACAGTTTGAGACATCAGAGCACTCTGAAGTGTCCAAGATGTGCCTGTTCCTCCTGCTGGCCAGGCAGGCAGTCCACAGGACCAGTGCAGTACGGTGTAGACACTGCAGAACTCACCGTTTCATCAGAGAAGTCTCACCCCATGAGACTCACAATACTTTGCGTTTAGTGAAGAGGAGGCCCAGGTTTTCAAAACCACTATCCACATATCCACAAGTGCCATATTGGTGTTAATGGGCCTTTTGGGAAATAGCGTTAATGATAATTAGCCCAATTTGCTGAGTATGTCTTAGAAAGCGTATACCATACCAAGAAATCAAACTCAGCAAAGCCACTCAGGGCTTGCCAGCATTAGAGGCCAGACTGAATTTTCCTGCTAGAAGGCTGTACAGCCGAAGCTGGAAGATGGTGGGCTGGCTCTTTTGAGGAGACAACCAAACAAAGGACCAGCTTTAGAGAGTCAGGCTTGCTGCCCCATCTCCCCCAAAGGGATGGAGAGAAGGGACTGGGGGGTCTTGCCAGCCCAGCAGTTCTGCCCCTTACTCCAGCCCCTGCCTGGGGCCAGCATGTGCTTCTGGCTTTCCAGGAGGGCTGCAAGGAGGCTGCAGTGGTGGTGCCCAGCAGTTTGCTCTGCTTTGCCTACAACCAACTGGGAAATGCAGAGACCTTGCTGTGCTGGTGCATGATTGCTGAGCGCTGCTCTCACAGTTCACAGAGAATCAGAGCTGTATGAAAATCCTGCCAGGGGGCAGCAAATCCCTACAATTATTATTTTTTTTTTAAATTGCAGCATGTGATTCTGAATTGCAGCATGTTGAGTTCCCCCTGTGAAAGCTGTACCACCACCCTGCCCCTCTGCATGTCACTGTGACTGCCTGTCACAGTCTGGATGGGGAGGTGTCACTAGCTGGGCTGGGCACATCCCTCGGGTGTTTTACCCTAGGTTTCAGGGAGCGCTTCCCACGCAGAACCTGTGTCATTTAGCACACAGTCTGGAGGGAGGTGTCACTAGCTGGGCTGGGCACATCCCTCGGGTGTTTTACCCTAGGTTTCAGGGAGCGCTTCCCACGCAGAACCTGTGTCATTTAGCACAATGCACCAGCAGCGTGCGAAGCAGCCACCCATGCCCTGGGGCACCTCATGGCATCACCCAGTGCACCACAAACCCTGGGGCAGGCAGGCCCAGCGCTGCCCAGCCAGCCTGCATCAAAACCCATGGGGCTCACTGGGAGCTGCTCTTGCTGGGGTCTGCCCACTGGTGGGAAATGGGGAGGCTCAGCACTGCCCTGCGCCGTGGGTCGGCATGTCCCTCCTCGGCCAGGGCTGGGGTGTAATTAGCCCTACGCTTTACTGTGTGCTGGATATACTGATTTGCTGCCCCAAGGCCTCTGAGCTGACACATGGGAAAGGCAGTATGAGCAAGCTGAAAATAATAATGAATAATAATGAATAATGACTAATGGCGATGATGATGGTGGTGATAATAATATAGGTTATTGAAGACTGCAGGGAAGTGACAGACCACCCTGCCCCTCTGAGAAAAACTTGTCATGGGGGACTTAACACAGAAAGATATTTGTAGTCGCTCTATTATTAAGGAGGAAACAGTTACCATTTTATATTCTGTGTGAGGGCAAATCACTGCTGATTTTATTCCATTTGATGCATTTAGCCATCACACAAGCACACACATGCTCCAGGTGGGAGCAGGCTCTGAAGTCACTTCTTTGCAGCATGCAGGAAGGATGTCCTGTGCCCAAGCTCTGCTCAATACTCTTCCCTTTACCCAGGCTTTTCAAATTTTCTTCCAGTTGTGCAGGATTGCACCATGCTAAAAAATTCTCCACCTCTTTTTGCTAGGTATTTCTTTCATTTGTATCTGTCATAGTTGACAAAAAAACAGAATGAATGTATCCAGTTATACCTCTTCCGCTGGTTGTATTTTTCTCTGTAAACCAAGGCAACATCTTGGTGTGCAGCTGACAGTGAAAATGCACAGTGGGCAGCAATTCCCAACAGAGAGAAAGTAGAAACCGTATGTCTTTACTAGACAGCAAACAGCTCTAGCTAAGACTAAGCAAAATCAGCTTAAAACAGGCAGTTCTGAATTGAATAGACATAGAGAGAACTTGAATCACATCACAGGATACTGCTGAAAAAAAATAGCTGGCTGAATGATAAGAAAAAGACTAAGCATTCATCAGATTATATAAACCCTGTATCCCTCTCCCCCAATTAATCTAGAGCTGAGGAACGTGCTTTCAAGCTTTGGCATTTATCTTGTAACAAAAATCCTCCTCCAGTGACGTTACACTATTCATATCAAGGGATTAGAAAAATTACAAATGATGAATAAAGACAATGATCTTTTCTCCTTTCTGGTTAACATTGTTACAACAATATGACATTGACGCATCACAACCTTGATGGGCTTAAAACAGGCTGTCTCAACAGGCAAGCCAATCGCCAAATACCCTTATCAAAGACGTGCATGGTCTTTGAAACAAGAATTTTCACACCCACAGAGATCCAATAAAATCCCTGGATTTTTACAGAATAATCCTTTTGTTGACTTTTTGTCAGCAAAGCTAAAGCTGATACACTCAGAAGTCTCATGAGCTGGAAAAAGTTTTGTCCAGTTGAAGTCATGCTGTCAGCAGCAAATCTTGCTCTCTGTGCCAGATCTGGATTTGGAGGCAACATGCTCAGAGGCTGGTGACAGAGGAGATGACCCTGAGAGCAGCAGAGCTTGCAGCAGCCTCAGGGAGGACAGTATGTGGGGATGCATCGCTGCTGTCCTCTACCTTCGCTCATATGGATGGGAGCTTGTTAGACCAGGGCATCCTTTAGCGATTTGCCTCGATGACATTTTGCAAAGTATCTCTGTTATGTTAGTAAATGCAGGGGACTGAATATGCAGCATAATGAATAATAAAAATGGAGCAGGACCTCACCTCACAATTATCTGACTGACCCAGTGACATTGGTAGCTTCTTATAGCTGAGATTCAAACCCCTTTAGTACACTACTTCACTGATCCCAGTGAGGTACTAGGAATCCTGAGCAGCATGAACTGCGAAGGGACATTTTAGAGCGTTTCAAATTTAGGGCAAGGCACCCTCAAAATGCTACAAATTAAAGTATGAATCTGTTGCAGCAGATCTATTGCCCATAGCAACTGTAAGGAATAAGCTGAATAAAGCATCAAAAGCTATAATTCAGCATTTTAACATATGTATGGCAGGTTGGAAGGCAGGTACTGATAGCAATGTTGTAGTAAAATTTAACTTATTATGATGAAAGATTGGCACTGTTGGACAGAGAAGAGCAGATTTTAGCAGATAAGCTACAAGTCTTGTGTGAAGCTCATCCAGTCAACTGGCCTCTATCATCTCTGTTCCTTTTGCCACCGTAGTGAACTTTTCTTATTATGTACGTGAGACCACCTGCATTCTGGTGGCCTAGTAGATAGCTGGATTCCTGAATACAGAAGACGAAGAAAATTGATCAAGTGCCCTTATGCAATTTACTTCTCCTCCACTTCATGCTGCATAGATGTTTCTCATCTGTAGACAATTGCACCTGACGGTTGTCCAGCCTGGGAGATTAGCCTCATTTTTAGTCCTAGCAAAAAGGCTGGTGGTTTGATGGATTGA